AATATGAACCCTGGTCCATGGTATAACAATTTCTCGTTTCCACCCCTAACGAAATGGCAGCACCACCAAATCCCACCACACCAGTCAAACAAAGATCTTGAGATGGCATGGCTGACAGTGATGCTTGTGCAAAATCATGGTTGAACAAAGAAATACAAGGACAAGATGTTTTTATCTAACATCTACTTATAAACTTTCACAGATAACTCTTTCATCTGCACTCTGAATGGATAAAATGAGTAAAGCAGAAACAATCTAGTGATCTACCACATTAAGGACAGTTCAACGGCTTTTACATGGAAGTAGTTAGAAAGGTGGAGAATGGTAAAAGAAGAAAAGCAAATAGGCAATTCATCTCAATAAAAGGCATGCTACTTACAAGTTCATATACACTTACTAAGCTGTTAGTGACCTCAAAAAGTAAAAATTGTTTTTTTTAAAAAAGTACAAACATAACCATCCAGAAAGCTAATCTTGCTGAAGGAATATTAAGATCTGTATTAATGGCCTCTATGTGGTTTTTCCACATTGAGAGTGCCATGTATTTGCTAATAACCAAAACAAAACTATTTCTTTCCTCTAAAGAAAAAATAGAGGTGCGTGGTATAGATACATTAACCAATGGGTGCCATGTTTCAACCCTGAGTTTCACTGACATTATTAGGTACCGAACTCAAAGTAACTTCTTCAACGACAGGCATGCTTTGTACATGTTCAAGAAGCTGTCTGAGTTCTCGGTCAACATAACTAGCACGCTCCTTAGAGATCAATGATTCTGAAAATATACTTGCAGTGAGAGCATGGAAGGCTTGAGAATATTCATCGGTGTTCGTTTGAATGATTGAATCGCCAAAGGGAATTAAGGAGCTCTCCATCAGCCACCTACGGGGAAAATATTTCCCGGGAATCTGGAAGTAGTTCTTTATTAAAAGCAAACGAAGGCAATGCCTGCATAAGATGCCAGAATGCTCAAACTCCTTACAAGAACAGTGAACTTGTTCATTTTCTGGAATCCAAATCACAAAGCACTCCGCTTCCATTTTCTTATAATGTCTCACGAGATATGAGCCATTAGGCAATTCTGTAACCGAATACTGCATCGAGAGCACGATCTCATGTTGCATGGCACTGAAAGCATATGGTGTAAGAATACTCCTAGCATGTTCTTCTAGAGGCATGCAGGTTTTTATGGGCATATGAAGAAGCTTTTCCTTGCTATGGTTCATAAAGCTGATGGAAACACTGACCTGAAAAATAAATCACGGGGACTTGGTAATATTTTCAAAATGTTTGATAATATAGAGAAGTAGAAAATAAAGGTCATACTAACCTGCTCAAAAAATAACTGCAGATTTGGTTGTTCACTCAAGATATGTTTCAAGAATGTTTCAACCAACTTTGAATACTCGGGAGTCATAGAATGGGCCAGGAAAAAATTACGAATATATGAAATTGGCCAGGACATTCTGTAAGCAAATAGCAGAGCAATGTGTTTATCTGATCCAAGTCCATATCGAGCAACCAGATGATTCCATTGATGTTCAAATTCATCTACATTTTCTAATTGGCTGATGATATCAAATTCAGATTTGAATTCTGCATACTGCACTCCAAGTGGCGTAGAGAACCAACTAGACAATTTCGGGAGAATTTTCCAAAGACAAATAACATGCTTTGTATTAGGCATCTCATTTGCTATAGCATCCCTGAGCTCAGAATCTAAATCAGTGACAATTGTCTCCGGCTGTCTTCCTTCCATACAATGAATAAAAGACTGCCAAAAAAAAAAAGACTCGTAACCAAATATATTATTGTATACAGATTCAAAACATATCGTAAATCTCCATGTTATATGTCCAAACCTGTAGAGCCCAAGAGAATGACTGTGATGTCTCATCCTGCAGCAGAACACATCCAAGAAAAATTGCCTTCCCATGATTGTCAATTGCAAACCACACACCAAGCAGCATATTATATGTGATAGAGCGATATGTGGTGTCAAATGTTACCACATCACCAAAGATTGCAGCTGCCCGAACTGCATCACCATACACCCACGCAATATTTTCAACTTTTCCATTTCCATCTGTGGTATACTTGTAAGCAAATTGCTCATCCCTCTCTTTCGCAGCCTTGCAAGACTCAAGCAGGTCAAAAAGGTCATTTTCCCTTTTCTCTGTGATCAGAGCATCATTTTCTTGAACAGTTTTCTTACACGTCCTAACAAAGTTCCTTACGTCTTTTTCTATAAAAGGCAACTGACCAGGCCGAACTCCCTTTTCTAACTCCAACACCTTAACAATCCTGTTCACAGGAAACCCAGCTTTGGACAGTAAAAGAATGCGCTCTTGATCAGGCTCTTGAATTTTTCTATACGCAGGAAGGAGCCGTACTTGATCATCTTCTAACAATTCATGGTTGTGAACATTACTGAATTGAGAAACATACCATTGAGCTACACCATCAACAAGTTCCTTCGTCAAGTAGAGTTTTGCATCACATCCACACCGTACAGACTTTCTGTCCCTAGGGTGCTCCACGTTGGCCTTTTTCCTAGGCTGGTTAAACCCAGACCTGTAACACACAAAATCCCTTCGATAAACCCCCAAATTTTGGCTCTCAGTTGAACGTGCTTTGCGTATTGAAAAACCATTCTTCCTCGCAAAGCTGCTATAAGACTCATAAGCTTCATCGTCACTTTTAAATATCTGGCCAACGTATGGAGTACAGATGTTTTCTTGTGACACAAAGGATGCCAACCCGCTCTTTGCCATTTGAGCACCACTTGTCACCTGATCATCCCCATCACATTTAACATAACACTTCCAATCTCCACAAGGGCACTGCTGTCTTTGAATCCAAATGTTATTCAATGTCTTTCCAGCCATTATTAAGGAAGCAATATACACAACCTAAGTGACAGTTTTCATTCGATTCTCATTTGACTCAAAGCATGAATTATTAGTAATTACCACCAAGTAGTTCAACACTTCCAACTGCCACTCGGTCCACTCCCCTGTCTGATTAAACGATTCAACAATAACTAAGAGGAGTACAAACTAGAAATCTCAGCATAAAAACGGATACCCACAGCACAATGAAGAGAATAATTCAATAAATAATCAAAAATTAAGACTGGCATCAAACTTTCTAAATTGGGTTTATCCTAAATGGTTTAAAAAGAAAGAAAGGCAAAACATTTCATCCAATTCTAGAAAAAGAAATGCGATACTGATAACTGCATAGTATAGTCAATTACTAAGATAAATAAGCAAATCAGCCACTAATTTGGAAGACGATTGAATAATGGGGAATGATGAACTCAATTATTGAGTCGAAACCCGAAATGAATAAGTGATTGTATATACCGGGAGTAAGAAAGTGGAAATCTTGACAACAGCGACGATGATAGTGTGGCTGTGATAAAATTTCCGACGAGCAGCGACCTGTTCCACCTACAGGCTACGACCATACTATTTTAAGTTCTTAACTTTTTGCGGTTTTCTTCACCTCTTCGGTCCCTAGTCCCTACTATAATAATTTCTTGGCCAACTTTCTTCCTGGTAGATCTACAAGAAGTTGGGAAATTATATCATAACCCCGTCTCTAGGTTTATCTTGTAAGAGAATTATCTTGCAAGTTCGTTTTTAACAATATAATGTGTTTAAACACAAATTCTGTATTACAGATGTTAAAAATAAATATATAATATATTCTTGTATGATTATACAAAATGAACTGACGAAAAGGGATTGATAATTCTAATAGGTCGGGTGATACTTTTATAAAATGGTTTCTTTTTGTGCATAGTAGCATCGGCTAGAAGTTAGAATTTTTAGTCTTAGAATTTTATTTATCACCAAATTTTGGACAACTTTCAAGTCAAGTGAGCTAGAGTGGATATTCAATTAATAATCAAGTCAAAACAATCAAATTCCTTAATCAATAATAGAAGAATGTCTATCTTGAATAGTTAGATGATTTAATTCGGAATATCTCTTGATAAAAAAAACACCTATACTTATCAATTCTTTTTCTTTAGTGAATTTTTCGACCAATTTCATAGTTCCATTCATTCTAAAGTAAAATATATAGCTTAAGTTTGGAACATCTACATCTCACATTTTATGAGTACTTTTCATCTTAAGTGAGGAAAAATGAATAATTTTATCAACAATCTTGAAGTTTGGGCTTAATATTTGTATTATATACTACATGATGAAATTAGATTTTTCCACTATAGGATTATTTGATAAACTAGTTCAAAATATAAGATAATGCAATAATAACATGAAGAATTAAAGAGAATATTATCGGCGAGAGAAATTACTACATCAAAGTAAGGACACCAAGTCCTTTTTTGAATACTGCTAACTCTATTACAATATAGTATATGTTCATACACACTTTCTCAATCTACTGAAGCACAAAGAGTCAATACCTGAAAACTTAAGCAATACTACTGACTCTATTCCAATGTAGCTTCTTTTGGCACACCTATTCCCATGCAAATTATTTCACAAAAATTGTTTAAAATCATTTCAGGTAAGACGATCTCATAAAAGACCAGTTACAACAATAATCTCTTAGCACCGCATCCAAGACAAAATTTGTCTGAATTGAGACGATCTCACACAAGCCACCTACTGCAATAGCAACTCCTAGCACCACATCTATGTCAAATCAAGAGTTGGCACCACATTTAAAGTGCATTATCTCATAAACCAATCAAATGCTCGTGCAATCATCATCTAGCTTGTTGCGCCTTGCCATCAACAGAAAAAGGCAACCATCAGAGCCCCACCATCTCTGATCTGTGTATAAGCTATCAAGCAATTCATTTCATTCAAGCAGGCAAATCTGGAATACATCAATGCTCTTGATTCTTGAACCACACAGAAGCATGAAAAGGAAATCAAGACGAAAAGAAAGCGAAAACAGAGAAAGAGATAGTGAATTAGTGGTTTCACCTAGTCGTGTAATCTGCCATCACTCAAGGTTCATGAGGGAAGAATGTAAATGACCACTGCAGGAAATAGCAGGAGCATCTACAAGTAGTTATAGAAGATATGGAAGAAGAGCTGTAACAAAGTTTTAACGGAAATCAACAAGGATCACTTGTGAAATATTAATTTCCGCAAGCATCAACAAGAGCCAATAAATTTAAGAAAACAACGACAGATAAATACTAAAGTACTATAACTAATCCGCAAATATAAATTTCTTATTTTTCTCGTAGCATCAGTTGTTAGGGTGTCAAAGGCTCAAAGCACTCATCATAGCATAACAGTTCATCAATGGCATTATCCTTTACCTTAGCACAACGTTGAAAAATGAAGTGCTATTCAATATTCTCTTATTTTACTCATGATAGATTGTCCAAAGATTCATTGAGCTAGTTGATTAGAAGCTTTATGTCACTATGACAAAAAGCACCTAGAGCAACTTCAAACTTACATTCTCAATTTGTCCACAAAAACCAGTCACTTCTGCATATGCAGGTTAAAATGATATATACACATATAACTTACTTCATATTCCATCCCCGCTCAAAAAAAAACAAGGACAAGATTCTGAAGCAAGAACAAAAGAAAAGAGAAACAATGTTGAAGCAAAGCTGCAAAGGCACACAGTTTCTAGCCCAAGCACACGAAAGTCAACAAGCATGGTAGTGGCAAACAATTGAATCGGACATTCAGTGAAATTGAGAAAATGAAGGATTTAAAAAAAAAAAAAAAAAAAAAAAGAACTGGATTTGTGTCAAAATACTGCAGCAACTTTGATTTTTCATGGTGGATGGCTTAAATACGTAAAAGTACCATGAGGTCTTCCATAAGTTTTACATTCGTGTACCATCTGCAGGTGTTTCATACAGAGTAATAAGTCAAACCTCTATAACAATGACAATGAAGCTTGAAAAGCCACTACTCTGAAAGTAAATGGCATATCCTCAAGCATACATCTTAGCAAAGTCCATACACATTTGACGATCTCGCAGGTCTCCCCAGCCTCCCCAACCTTTGAACCCAGCCTGATATCCTGATTGGTGCTCGTGAACATGCACTCCCCAATCTGATCTGATGTTGGTAACCTTATCATCATCTACAAGATCAATTGACACTTCACCATTATCAATGCAAGCTACTTTGTCAGCCCCTTGATGCAAGCCGCATCTCCCAAAATGAACAGCACTTGTCTTTGGCCCACGTAATGTGTAAACAGGCGTACCAAATGAAGGGTAAACTGTGGCCCACATTGTTATATCCCAGTTATAATCATCAAATGAACAAAATTTTGCTGCCTTCATATGTATTTTATTCCATACAGTTCGATTAAAGGCATAGCCCACATTTCCCATCCTTTCTGCTATCAAAGCATCCCATCCCTCTCCCCTCGACTTCACTTCAGATGGTGCCAAATTTGCTGCATAGCAATCCGGGCACTTATCGGGCTTCAGTTCAGCAAGAAGTTGCAAATTGCGATATGCATTTGGGAAAATGAAGTGGTCCTCCTCTATGAAGAGGATATGGCCTACATGATTACGAGTCTCCTTTAGCCCATCCCATACAGTATTCATCATCCACCACCAATGATGCTTCAAAGACACAATCTTTGGTGACCGGTGGTTCCCATACTGATCAGGAGTCCCTTCACAGTGCTTCTCAGCTGGGTCATCTGTATCCTTACAATCTCGGGGTGACACACCAGGAAAACTGCCATTGAATATATGGGGAGAGTAAGGAGAAAATATCTGTTTCACTTGGCAGAATTTGATCCCTTCCACAATCTCGTTCATCTCATCAAAGTACCCATCATGACTAACAATCAGCAGAGTTTCACTAATCCCTGTAACCCGGGAGAGGCTATCAACTACTACCCGTAGATACTTAGGCCGGTTATGAACATACAAAACAATCACAATATGATCCTTGGCCAACCTAGGATACAAATCCATGTTCCTAGGAGGCAATTTGTTTCTCACCTCCAATGAGACAGACAGACTGTTTTGTTTAGGAAGATTCAACTTCACCTTCACCTTTTTTGTGGGCGGGGGTCTACTAAAATCCTCAATTTCAAAACTTTCAAAACCCTCATATCTATAGCTGGTAATTAACCCAGAAATTGTGTTGGTCCTAAGAAGCACTAACAACAATAACACCCCTAATACAATCAGCAGCATCCAAGAAATCAACCGACGAAAGGCAGCGTCTTTAATTCTACCCTTCCTATATGAAGACATCACTTTCATCATCCCCATCTCAAAAATCAAAACATTCCCCAATAAACCTAGCTACCCAATCTTTCAACAGAGCAGACAGATCAAATCAGTAACTGGGAATCACTAAAATGCATCAGTAACCGTCGTTTATAGCGGAAATTGAAACGTATTACATACCCAGGAAGTGAAATCCGAGGCTCTGCAAATCTGCACTGATGAACTCCAGAGAAGACACCAAACCCACTACAAGAAAACCTTAAAACCACGAGGCGTTGACCGAGTCTTACCCAAACCCAGGGATGAAAAACCCTCGCCGGGATTTCTCGGGAAGACTTGGAATGTACGTATGTGTGGAAGAAGATGGAGAAGTGGATGCTAGAAGTTGGAAAGACTTGAAGAAATTTTGCGGTGTTGAGAAGGCAGAAGCAGACACATTTATTGGAGCACTATTCCATTTTGCGTTTGGTGTGGAAAATGGGAATGGAGGCTTCGAGGATCCCTAGGTGGTTGCGTGACAAACGTGCCGTACCAATCCAAATTTTTTTGATAAATACAAATTAAAAAAATCAATTATTTATGGTGTTGCTATTTACACCACCCTTTAACTAAAACTAGATATAAAATACCTTGAAATTATAAAAAGGTAAAAACTTTTAATAATTAATAGGTGGTGTAAATAGCCAAATTGAAATACATTTTGCTATTTGCACCACCTGGTCAAACTTCAATTAATAATTTATTAATTCAATATTTTATTAATTAAAACATTTATAAAAAAAAAAAAAAAACGAAACGTCACCTTCTCCGGTGAGAAGGCCGAGGAACTGCCTTCTCACCGGAGAAGGCAACTGGGCTGCCTTCTCCGGTGAGAAGACAGCCCAGTGGGTCGCCTTCTCTGGCTTCTACCTGGATTGCCTTCTCCGGTGAGAAGGCAACCCGACTAGGTGGGCTGCCTTCTCACCGGAGAAGGCAGCCACTCGCCTTCTCACCGGAGAAGGTGACGGATTTTTTTTTTTTTTTTTTTTTTACTTTGCTGCCTTCTCCGGTGAGAAGGCAGCCTAGTGGGTCGCCTTCTCACCGGAGAAGGTGACGGGTGGGTTATCTTCTTCTTCTTCTTTTTTTTTTTAATTAATATTTTGAGGATAAAAAAATGGAATAATAAATATTAATATCTGACCACATTTAATGATGTTGACTTTTCTATTTGCACCACCTACAAAGTTATTATACCTATTAAATAATGTGGTGTAAATAGCAAATAGGGTGGTGCAAATAGAATTACTCATTATTTACTGTCAAAGTGGACCAGGATATCAAACACTCATAATAAGATTCAAATATAAAATACATTATATATTACAATTGAATATATTTTATAGATTATATGATGGTTAACGGCGTAATCAAAACATACTTGAATAGGGTAAAAATGTGAAAGTTTAAAACACTTTGAAATGATATAAAAATATTTATAATAACATAATAAATTAGATTAAATAATTTGAATAAAAAAAGACACTATATTCATAAATATTTTTTAATTTTAACTTCTTTAATAAATTTTAATTTTTTTTTAAATTAATTCGAATACGATGAAGTATAATATAAACTTATATACTACATTAATTAAATGATTCATAAAAAAATAGACTAAACAGCATTTAATTTGTCTTGTGAAGGATGAAAGGGGTAAAATAAAAGAGAAAAGGGGAAAAGTGTCAAATTATCTCCCTACGTCGATTAGATAGTGCAATTAGGTCCCCTAACTGAAAAAAAAAAAAAAAAAAAAAAAAAACTCAATTCAGATCCCTTAAACCTTTACAATTGTTCAATTAAGTCCAAAATAACTTGTTTAGCAGGTTAAGTCTTCACATCGTTGACACGTGTCTTTTTAACAAATTGTATTTATTTATTTATTAAAATATATATTATATATAAAAAAAATAAAAAACACATCACAGGCGAGACCTCCTTTGCCAATGTTCTTCTACAACACTTACTATGCAACCGATATGTTGTTGTTTGTGGCTCGCCATTACTGCTCAGCTGCTGGGGAGGGAGGTTGCCGGTAGGAGTTGATGATGTTGGTCGGAGAACTAGTTGCCATCTACGCCGGAGGAAGCTCGCCGGGGATTCGATCCATCCACCGCCGTTGTCTGCCAAACTGGCCATTAACGCCGGCGAGAGAAGAGGTCGCTGGATATGTTTAATTCGTCCCAGCCCCCCGTCCACCATAGATGCTTCGCTGCTCACTGTACGCTGGACAAGAACGCCGGTAGAGGAGGTCTCGCGCGGTGGCTGTGTTTTTTGTTTTTTATTTTTATTTTTAGTTTTTATATATAATATATTTTTTAATAAATAAAAAAATTTATAATAAAAAATATTTTTAAAAGACACGTGTCGACAATGTGAAGACTTAACTTGTTAAATAAGTCACTTTGAACTTAATTGATCAATTTTACAAATTTAGGGGATCTTAATGAAGTTTTTTTAGTTAGGAGATTCAATTGCACTATTCAATCGATTTAGACGACCAATTTGACACTAAACTATTAACATCATCATGTTTAAAGTTTCGACAAATTGTTTTCAAAAAAAAAAAAGTTTCAACAAACTAAGCTATTCAAAAAGTTAGTAATTTATGCAAAGGGTGGGGGAAGGGGTACCATTATATTGTGGCTCCGCTATTGTTTAATGAATCCATGAACTTTTTTGTTTTTTTGTTTTTTTTTTTTTTCTTTTCTGAATGAATCCGAACACACCATGTAAATAAGTAAAGAATGGAGCAGAAATTGAGATTAGTGGAGTATTACTCAATCCAAATATCAAAGTTTTAATATTAATAGAATGGGTGGGGCCAAATGTTCCAATGTATGTAAAAAATATAAATGCAAATAATTGTCAAGATCTGAGCATTCAATATTTCAATCTGCCACAGATTCAGCACATTTACTGATTTACATTTATATATCTCTTCAAAGGCATGCACATTAATGGAAGCTTCACAATTCTAAACGACAGTAACATCATGGGTAGCTGATATTCGACATAGTAATCATATATATATAATGTGAAAAAAACAAAAAGAGGAATTCCAGAATATGGAGGAAAATTTCCTACTTTTTCTGATGGTGAAGAAGCTAATTAAGAGCTCTGCTAACCTAGTAATCCAACAAGAACATGTTTGTGTTTAGTTTTTAAGGTTGTGTAAGGACTTGTAAAGTAGCAGTGTCACGTATTTTGAGCGGAATCTATGTGTTGAAGTTAGAGCCACTGTGGAATGGGCACGGCGCCCTCTCTGGATGAACAGATGGTTCAAAACTGCAGGTGAAGGCTTTTCCAGGCTGCTGCTGCTGCAGCCGCTGGTGGATGAAGATGGCGACGGGTGATCCAGTGGAGATTGTTGAAGGAGAGGAGGCAAATCGGGCACCTTAACGCTAAAGTCTTGTGCTGTGAAGGGTGCAGAGTTGTAGGATGATTCGGGGGAAGGCGGGGAGTCTGGCCAGCTGTTGTTGTTTGGAACCTCCGGAACTGTATCCTGCAAAACACACACTTTCCTTAAAACCGATTCTCTCCCTCTCGGGAATTCTTGGATCGGAGCAGGGCATATGACTATCCCCAACAGCTAGTGATAATGCTAATTGGAGTAGTGCATAGTAAACTATTACTGCTTCTGTTTCCTCCTTGTGATTCTTGGTTTGAGTCAGTCAGCTATGTGCAACTTAGGTTGGTTACCTCGGTCTGATTCTTTACTGGCTAGGGTTATAAGGCGGGATTTACCTAGTGCACACCCTCAGATAGTGTGCCAAAATGAATTGGATATGGTCATCATGTTCTAATTGGAGTTGAGAGTTAAGACAGATGATCAAGTTTGTGGACATGTATAGGAGACATCAAACAAACATTCTAATAAGATATACAATGATTGAAGATGGTACCTGCAAGTCCAACACATTGAAGACATTACCCAAATTGTCACATTCGCGTGGAAAATCCGCAGCACATCTCCATTGTCCATCAACTATAAATCTGAAATGATAAACCCCAGCTGGAAGCACTTTCATGATGGCAAAGACATCCTTGTCTGTTCTTTGTAAGTGTTCTCTGATTGCAGCAAACATCATTGGTTTAACAACTTAAGCATGCATTAAACAATGAGAAGACAACAAAAAAGGAAAGGCAAGAATAATCGGGTAGGGGTAGGGGTTCGACTCCCACCAACAACATGTTGGAGCTAGCCAGCTAGGGCTCATTTAGACCCTTGGGCTCCCCAGATTGGAGATTGGGCTACCCAAGTTGGTGAAAGTGTCAAGATGGATCCCTTATGCACAGAGTTAAAGATAGAGACTAACTGGAAGGCTGCTTAGCCAACCCATGATTTACCTCCTCTAGAGATTTCTGGACAGGGATTCTAGAGGCTAAGATTAGTCTAACGTAAGCTGGAAACGTTTGACTCATGGTAGGGTTTGACTCCCACCAACAACATCTTGGAGCTAGCCAGCTAGATCTCATTTAGACCATTGGGCTCCCCAGATTGGAGAAAGTGTGAAGATAGATCCTTTGTGTGCAAATTTAATGACATAGACTAACTGAAAGGCTGCCAACTCATGATTTACCTCTTCCAGCAACTCTTGGACAGGGGTTCTGGGAGCTAAGACTAGTCTAACGTAAGCTGAAACCTAATATTAATGTATCCAAAAAAAAAAAAAAAAAAGGGAGAAACAAACATCTTGCCTGGTCTTCCAGTCATCCCATGATCCCTCAACAGCAACTTCATTTCCTCCATGACTCCATGTGATCATTGTTGGAACCCCATACTCTCTTGTCTTTTCCTTAGCCTCATCACTACTTCTGTTTTGCATTATTTCATCAGGCCATTGCAAAGGAACAACTGGAGCCTAAAACAACATAGTAATATATACTCCTAAAATTAGTATGCAGTACAACCTACTTTCAAATGAAAAAAATAAAAACAAGCAACATTTGTACTGCACATTTCCCTTTTCCAGCACTGTCTGCACTGCACCCCAAATTTCACATTGAAAATGATGCTTTCATAAATCAAGAATGTACATTTCTTTTCTTGAATTGAATCCCTGGCAACCGTTTATTGGCTTTGATATGATGGTCCCATCTCATTATGAGAGTAAAAAATGTCCATACTATATTCTTTTGTCCACTGAAAGCACCAAACACCCCACTCCAAGAAAAAGGTTAAAAAAAATTGCAGTATCTTTTACATTCTTAATTCATCAAGAACTGGTAAAAAGTTAAAAAATAATAAAAAAATTCTCAGTTCTCCACATTCAGAACCAAACCCACCTTGCAGCTTACCTTTTTCTGCATACATTCTTTTCCAAAAAAAAAAAAAAAAAAAGTTATTGGAGTAAAAGGAATTTTCTCAAACAATAATTGACAAAAGATTCTAGAGAGGTTCCAATTCTGTGGAGTGTCTTTCCACAATGACAGCAGGTATGTATTATATGTTTTTCCTCATAAAAAAACC